GGGGCCACGAAGGGCAGACATATGGGGCCACGAAACAAAGCGAGGGGGCCACGAAGGGCTGCAACGGGGCCACGAAGGGCAGCGAGGGTGCCACGAAGGGCTGCAACGGGGCCACGAAAGGCTGCAACGGGGCCACGAAGGGCAGCGAGGGGGCCACGAAGGGCTGCAACGGGGCCACGAAGGGCAGCGAGGGGGCCACGAAGGGTTGCAACGGGGCCACGAAGGGCAACGAGGAGGCCACGAGGGGCTGCAACGGGGCCACGAAACAAAGCGAGGGGGCCACGAAGGGCTGCAACGGGGCCACGAAGGGCAGCGAGATCCCGATTCCTAGGTAATCTGTGAAGGGGTCCTAAGCGTGAGCGCGACTCCTGGGTGCCTGGGTGTCGGGAGCGCGGCGCTGGAGTAAATTGCAAGAAATTCCAACGCAAGGGCGCTACTCGTCAGTAAATTGCAAGCAAATCTCCAGCGAGAGCGCGACTCCAGAGCGCAGGAGGAGCGATTCCTTAATAAATCGTAAGGAAGTCCCAAGCGAGAGCGCGATTCTTGAATAAACTGCGAGGAAGTCTCGGGCGGGAGCGGGGGTCCTGCTGTTGTTGTAACCCGGGGGCCAGGGGGCCAGTTTGAGCAGGAAGACTTTCCTTAACAAAAAACAAGGTGCGAGCCCCGGGGGGGCACTTCAATTGAAAAAAACAATGTGCACCGGTGAGGGGGGATCAACAATAATTATTCTTTAAGAGTGAGAGCTCAACAACCACAACAACAACAACAACAACAGCAGCAGCAGCAGCAGAAGCAGCAGCATCAGCAGCAGCAGCAGCAACAACAACACCACCACCACCAACAGCAACAACCACAACAACAACAACAACAACAACAACAACAACAACACCAACAACAACAACAACAGCAACAGCAACAGCAACAGCAACAGCAACAACAACAACAACAACAACAACAACAACAACAACAACAACAACAACAACATTACCCGAACGCTCAGTGTTCTCACCAGTGCCAGGGTTTTCATGCGACGCGAGACAATACCCCCACTTCGTGGGGGGGGCAGTTCAAGCTCTACCAAATATCCAAACGACTCTTCGCGACCACCCAAACCCAGCTTCCCGCCCTATGACGTTGGGACACTTCACTTCGTGGCGTGCGGACGACCGTGGCTACTACACTGGCGTGGGGTACACACCCACAGAACTTGGTCACTATTCGGGGCGCGCGTGTGCCCAGCATCCTGCAATTGTGACATACAATACATGACACAGACAGACAGAGAGAGAGACAGAGAGCAGACAGAGAGAGAGACAGAGAGAGCGGAGTTGGTCACATTTTTGGGGCAAGTTCCTGAGATCGTCGTGTTTTTTGTTGGTCTTGCGCGCGCGAATGTCCACTTTACTTTTTTTGGCAAGGGATGTTGAAATTTGATTATGTACGAACAAGAAAAAGTAGCTCGCGCGAGCTTATGTAACATAAATGTTGAAAAACCATTGGTTTTGTGGGAGTCGGACAGCGCGCGCGGGATGAAATTTGGACATTTTTTTTTGAAAAAACCATTGGGTTTTTGATGTTTTTATGTTGAAATCGTTACGAAACCTAAGGTTCTGGAAGGATTTCGTCTTGCGCGCGCGAATGTCCACTTTACATTATTTTTTGCAAGGGATTATTGAAATTTGATTATGTTAGAACAAGAAAAAGTAGCTCGCGCGAGCTCATGTAACATAAATGTTGAAAAACCATTGGTTTTGTAGGATTCGGACAACGCGCGCGGAAGGACATTTTGACAATTTTTTCTTAAAAAAACAATTGGGTTTTTGATGTTTTTATGTTAAAATCGTTACGAAACCTAAGGTTTTGGAAGGATTTCGTCTTGCGAGCGCGAATGTCCACTTTACCTTATTTTTTGCAAGGGATTCTTGAAATTTGATCAACTAAGAACAAGAATTTTCATTTTATAGTGTTTTTTGCAAGGGAAAACGAGCGTCAACAAAAAACCGGATCCGGTAACAATCGTTTTGCCTGAGACTTCCTCACGAAAATTATGAAAATGAGGCTGCGGCCTAGGCGCGGCGGGGGGGTCGCGCACCAGGGGTCCCAACAATAATTATTCTTAAGAAGAAATAATGTTCAACAACAACAACAACAACAACAACAACAATCATTTAAGACTGGGGACACTCCGTTCTCACCAGTGCCAGGGTTTTCATAGGAGGCGGGCAATAACCCCACTTTGTGGGGGGGCCGGTTCAAGCTCTACCAAATTTCCAAACGACTCTTCGCCACCACCCACACCCAGCTTCCCGCCCTATGACGTTCGGACACTTCACTTCGTGGCATGCGGACGACCGTGGCTACTATTCAGGGCCCCGCGCCCGACGACGACGGCGTGCGCGCGCGAAGAAAAAACGAATGTGTCCCGCACGGTATTATTTGACAGGGATGATGGCCCTGGCAGGTGCGCAACCGTTGTTGCAGAAGTTCGAAAAAGTTGCTCGCAAAAACCCGTTTGACAGAAATGTTTAAAAAGTGTTGGGTTTCCTACGAATCCGCAAGCGCGCGCGGGATGAGATTTTGACAATTTTTTGTTGAAAAACCATTGGTTTTTTTATGTTTTTATGTTAAAATCGCTGCGAACACTAAGGTTTTGGAAGGATTTCGTCTTGCGCGCGCGAATGTCCACTTTACCTTATTTTTTGCAATGGATTTCCTCTCCCTCCATTCTTACCTTCGCTACTCCTCTACCTTCTACTTGACTTTCTCCCTTGAAGGTTGTTATGTTAGAACAAGAAATGTCCATTTAGCTTATTTTTTGCAAGGGAAAGCGGGTCGTAACAACACAACCCGGATCGCGACCAACCCGTTTTGCCTGAGACTCCTCAGGCAAATGATGAAAATGTGATGCGGCCTAGGCGCGGCGGGTGGGGTTTCGTGCACCCAGGCGGTTTCCCAAACAATAATTATTTCTTAGAAGAATTAATGTTCAACAACAACAACAACAACAACAACAACAACAACAACAACAACAACAACAACAACAACAACAACAACAACAACAGCAACAATAACACAACACTCAATAATGCTCAAGAGTGGCCAGCACATGCTCAACAAATCGTCCCCATATTATTTTTCGGCTACTTTTGAATATTCCTCCTGTAGAGGGACAGGCCCGACTCAACCTGAGCAGGGACCGACCGTCCCGGCATTCTTATAGGCCTCCCATAAAATTTTCTGAGAACCCGAACATGTTCTAAGAACAGAAACGATGTTCTTAGAACATAAGCCCGATGTGGTAAAACAAGACGGTCCCAGCCAGGAATGTTCTAAGAACATGTCGTGCAGACCACGAAAGATTCTTAAACATCGTTTGGTAGGCCTATAAGCAAGCTGGGACGTTTCGCCACTGCTCGATCAACGTTAGGGTCAGGTCGGCCATGTCCTCCTACAGGCGGATTTTGGGCGAAAAACGAAAGATACCCCAGAACTGCTCAAGAGTAGGCAAAACATGCTCCCAAAGTCGTCCCCAGACACACCCAAGACTAGGCAGAAAAATGCCCCCCAAAGTCGTCCCCAGACTATTGTTCGACCACTTGTGAATACTCCTCCTCTAGAGGGGCAGGCCCGACTTCGGCGGTGGACAAACCTCCCTTTAGTAAACCTCCCCTTAATGAAAACGGCCTGGGACCGAAGCCGACGGACCTGGACCCGCAAAAATGACGACCGCGATGCCCTCTCGCGAACCGAAAACGGCCGATTCCTTCATCGACGTGTCAGGGTAGGATGTCTATCAACTTCCGAAGCGTTTTCTTATTCGGCGTTTCGACATTGGGCGGAAGGGGGGGGGAGGGGGGGTCTGGCTCCGGACCTCTGCTTAGCGCGACTGCTTGCAACGGGACGTCCAGTGGGGGAGGCTCCACCTGCTTGAAACAGGCGCCCAAAACAGCCAAGATCTACTCTTAAGCCAGGCGTGTCCCCCCCTACAGGGGGATTGTCGACGAAAAATAAAACATGCCCCAAAAATACACCCAAATGGTAAAAAAATACCCCCCAAATAGTTCCCAGACCATATTTGTACGATTTGTTTGACTATTTTCGGGCTATTTTGCATTTTTCGTCGAAAATCTCGCTGCAGGGGGACAGGCCCGACTTAAATCTACTCCACGGGGGTGGGGAGGGTGGGTGCGAGGGTAATCCTCCGAAAAGACTGCCGTCGGTCTTCGTGCGCCTCCTCCTCCTCCTGCTCCTCCTCCTCCTCCTCCTCCTCCTCCTCCTCCTCCTCCTCCTCCTCCTCCGACGACGACGAATCAACGTTAGGGTCTGGGTTCGCCAGCGGTCGCAGACCTGGCGCGCCGGCGGCCCACGCGCGGCGCGCAACAGCCCTTGCCGGCCCCGCGCGGCGCCCCGTCCTGCTCGGCACGTCACAACAGGCGGGGTCCCGAGGAGGAGGAGGAGGAGGAGGAGGAGGAGGAGGAGGAGGAGGAGGAGGAGGAGGAGGAGGAGGAGGAGGAGGTCAGGAGGCGGAGGAGGAGGAGGAGGAGGAGAGGAGGAGGAGAGGAGGAGGAGGAGGAGGAGGAGAGGAGGAGGAGGAGGAGGAGGAGGAGGAGGAGGAGGGGGGATGGGACGGAGGAGGTAGGAGGAGAGGAGGAGGAGGAGGAGCGGATGAGGAGGAGGAGGGGAGGAGAGGAGGAGGAGTGAGGAGGAGGAAAGGAGGAGGAGGAGGAGGAGAGAAGGAGGGAGGAGGAGGAGGTGAGGAGAAGGGAGGAGGAGGAGGAGGAGGAGGCGTGAGGAGGAGGAGTCGGAGGAGGAGGAGGAGGAGGAGGAGGAGGAGGAGGAGGAGGGAGGAGGAGGAGGAGGAGGAGGAGGAGGAGGAGGAGGAGGAGGAGGAGGAGGAGGAGGGGGAGGGGGAGGGGGAGGGGGAGAACGGGCCCTGGACCCCGTGGCCTTCCCCTGGAGGGCGGCGGAACCTCCAAAGTACGGCACGGATCCACCCCCCGAGGCCCGGCCCCTGCTGGGCCAGAGGGAGGGTGTGCGCGCGCATCCCTGGCCGAGCCAGGAGGGCGTATACACGGCTGCTGGGCCCAGCATGGGCCAGGCCTGGGGCAGTGGGTACAGTGGAAGCCCGAGCCCACGAAGCACTGTACTTGCCTCCGGGGTGCCCTGGGTGTCTTGGGCTTCGATGGTTTTGCCATGGAGAGCGCGACCTTCCCACACCAAAAGTCCAGGGGCGTCCTGGGGTCTCAGGGCACGTTTCTCGTGGTCGGGCCCCCACTGTATGTATAGATACCGCCGCCCTGTCCCCCAGGGCTGGCTTCTCGCCCCTCGCCCCAAGCCGTTTGCGACGGCCCCCGGGCTCGTGGGGGAAGACCCCCACGAGGAGCCCCAGAACGGGGAGACGCGCCTCCGGGGAGGGGGGGGCGAAGAAGTGCCGAAGCTCCCCCGAGCATCTCCCAGGGCGCGTCCCGACCAGGACTTCGAGGACCATCCAGCCGCTCCGCCGACGAACAAAGCTCTCCAGGACGAGCAGCGGCATCCCCCGAGATCCGACGCTGCGCAGCACGGCGACATCAAGGAGAAGCGCTGCCCAAACGCTAATTAGGACCCCCTCCTTCTGCTGCATTTTTGCTCGAGCCGCGTCGCTCCGCGAAGAGGTCCTCGGGCCGGGGCCGGGCGAGCACGCCCCGCGTGAAGTGAGCCCGGCGGAGGGCGCGGCCCTTCCTCAGAACGAGGCGACTGCGAGCAGAGCCGCTCAATGCACGAGGCATCCCCGTGGTGCAAGTGAGCGCTTCGCCAAAAGCTTCAAGCCGCACTGAGCGTGACGGGCGTGCCCTACTGGGGCGAGGCCCCATGCGAACGCAACCACCAGGGCCTTCGGTGGAGTTCCCAGATGCGGCAACGCAGCGTGCGACGGGTGTGCCGAAAAAGGGTCGGGGCACCATGCGGACGCAGCCACTTGGGCCTTCGGCGGGGCCCCCTACGTGGCCACGAATCGCAGGAGGAGTGCGTCGACATGGGGCGGGGCGCAGTGCGGATACCCAGTGCGTCCACTCAGCTGGCTTGACGCGTCGACGGAACGCGCGCCCCCGCCACACCCGTCCCGCGCCCCTCCCCGATTGCGGCACTTGGCGAGCGATGTCGAAGCGGCGCCGAGGAGGCAGGTATTTCGGTTCGGGCAGGCGCGGCGCGCGATGAAGCGGATGCGGGGTGCACCGTGGGCAGAAAGCGTGGGGGGAAAGAAACCAAGGGAGGCAACTGCGGGGGGGGGGCTGAGGATAGATAATTGTGCGCACGAAATGTGCATGCGTGGGTGGATTGTGTCTGTTGCATCTGTGTGTGATGTGTGGTATGTGTGTGTGTGTGGACGTGTGTGTGTGTGTGTGCGTGTCTGTGTCTGTGTCTGTGTCTGTGTCTGTGTCTGTGTCTGTGTCTGTGTCTGTGATGTGAATGTCCGTGTCTGTGTGTGCGTGTGCGTGTGCGTGTGCGTGTGCGTGAGCACGTGCGCGTGCGCGTGCGCGGGCACCTGCGCGCGGGCACCTGCGCATGCGCGCGCGTGCGCATGCGTGTGCGTGTGCGTGTGCGTGTGTGTGTGTGTGTGTGTGTGTCTGTGCGTGTGCGCGTGTGTGCGTGTGTGTGTGTGTGTGTGCGTGTGTGTGTGCGCGTGTGTGCGGTGCGTCTGTGCGTTTGTGCGTCTGTGCGTCTGTGCATGTCTGTGTGTGTATGTGTGTGTGTGTCTGTGTGTGTGTGTGCGTGCGTGCGTGCGTGCGTGCGTGCGTGCGTAAGTCCGTGCGTGTGCGTGTGTGTGTGTGTGTCTGTGTGGGTGTGTCTGTGTGAATGTGTGTAAGTGTGAGAGAGAGAGAGAGTACATGTGTGTAAGTGCGTGCGTGCATGCGTTGCGTGTGCGCGTGCGCGTGCGCGTTCCCTTGCGCGTGCGTGCGTGCGCGTGTGCGTGTGCGTGTGCGTGTGCGTGTGCGTGTGCGTGTGCGTGCGCGTGCGCGTGCGCGTGCGCGTGTGCGTATCCGTGTGCGTGCGCGTGTGCGTGCGCGTGCGCGTGCGCGTGCGCGTGCGCGTGCGCGTGCGCGTGCGCGTGCGCGCGCGCGTGCGCGTGCGCGTGCGCGTGCGCGTGCGTGCGTGCGTGCGCGCGTGTGTGTGTGTGTGTGTGTGTGTGTCTCGGATTTCCTTCGGGGGTCATCCGTGTATGTTGGAACGATAAAGAGGAGATCAGCATTGCCCCTGCGCGCGGATGGGCAAGGCTTGCTGGTGCATGGTTCAGGGCGCGGGTTCCGCGCGACTTGGGCTTGCCGCGGCGCGGCGCACAATCCTTACTGCGGCGCGGCGGGCAAACTGGTACATGGCTCACTTGTTGGAGCAGCTGACTGCAGATCAGCAGATCCCTGGCTCAAGTCTGGGCGTGACCTGTTGGAAACGCAGGGTGGCCAATGCCCACGCGCGCGGCCCCTGGCACGACGTCTGCCCCATCCCAGCTTCTCCCGACGCCGACCGCGCGAGCCGCCGCACCGTGGCGCATCTTGCAGGATGGCCCTCTCGAATAGCTTCACATCCCCCGCTCAATACAGTAGGAACCCGACCACACGAAACTTTCCACAAGAAGCCCAAACCTGAGACCCCAGGACGTCGCTTGATTTTTGGCGTCGGAACGTCACGCTTTCCATCGCAGAACCATCGAAACCCAAGAAACACAGGGCACCTTGGAGGCAAGCAGGGTGTTTCTTGGCATGGGCCCCCACTGTACTGTCTTGCGCAGGGGCCCCGCCAGTCCCAGCCATGCGCGTTCCCCCATCACTGCTGGCAGTC